GTTGTCCCACCTGCTGTAGTATTGAGTTTGACCCATGCCGGCTGTTAGAGAAAAACATGGAACTGCCCCATCTTCTTTAATGACAAACAGCATCCAGGGTCATTTTAAAAGACCGTATAACCAGCTGTAGCCAACATCATTAATAAACACATTTGCCACAGCATTTTTTTTTTTTTTTTAAATAATTCCTATTATGTAGCCTCCATCAGAAATCACCCGTTGTCATCATCTTCTCCAGAGCACTCCCACATGAAAATAAAGGCTGAATGCCATCCTCATCTCCTATCTGGTAACTGTTGGTGAATGAATGTTTTAGTAACCATGGTCAGATCTGGCTACTGGACATGGTATCTGTTTACATTTTAATATTGCCTCTGGCTGAGAAGAAATCATCTGTTCACATTAAGCCAAACCACCACTTTTTTCACCATATGTTTTTAGCATATTGTACTTACAATCTGAGTTTCTGAATCTAAGAAGGTGGTGTTACCAACATAATTTTTAAAGCAATTTAAAATTTCCCATTCGCTCTCTGTGCCAGTCAGGTGACAAATGCAAGGCCTGCAGAGTAGTTTCATACATTGCACAATAATACGTAGGGATCCTAGCAACAACTGTATTCGGTAAAAGGTGTCCATTATGCTCAGCGACCTAATGTTTATCACGCTCAGTAAGCAACACTCGTGGCTGCTTCATTTAGGTAGTTTATGATGCTGAACTACTGAACCTGATGCAACGACACTACCACTTGTGTTGTAAAGGCTATTTCACTGGACGGGCTGCTGTGTACATGCGAAACGCTCTCAAAAAACACGCCCAAAACTGAAATCAAAGCCCAGAAACATGCCTATTTCTTCTTTAGGCAGATACAGTTGTTACTGCTTAAGCTCACACACAGTGATAATAGTCAGTGGAAGAAGCTCTGCAAATCCCCCACAAAGACAGTGGTTAGACACTATTTGAGCTATGACTGTAATCCACAAAACAAGAAGCTGAGTAAAGAAACCTGTGCCTTTAGGTCACAGGCACTGCTTTGAGGAGGCACAGAAGACTGCCTGGGTTCTGCAGGCAAGGCAGCATTTCTTCAGTACAGGAAGCAAACCCAAATTCACAGGAGAACCAAGGTTACTCCTTAAAGGATGATCCCTTTCAGATATGTACATCCTCCAATAGCAGGAATTTCAGTCCTACAATTTGTACTCAGAAGCTGATAAAGTCAGAGGAGATGTCAAAGGAGAGATGTGTTTCATGACAAAGCCTGGCTGAGTTAGAAGGTTGCTGTATTTTGAGCAGCGTGAATGGATGGTGTTGGGGTGTCAGAGACTTTCAGATGCTGTGTCTCAAAGGCATCCTCATGACTGAAGGGAAAGAATTGAAACTCCTACCATTTCTTACAGTTGCTTCTTATCATTTGCTAGTGGCACCTTGAGGCTTCAGCCATCTAGTCCCTGATCAAGCTGTGGTTCTCAACCAGATTATTTATAAATTCAGAATACTGCACTGCAGCAAGCGACACTGGCATAAATTCCCATCTGTCATCCCCCTAATCAACTCCCAGCACAGTGATCGATCTTTTTCAAATTCAGATTACTTAACTACTGCAAGAAATGGGCAGTATACCATCCAGGACAATTTAGGAGCATTGACCCATCCAGCAGCTGTAGCTTCATGTATGTTACAGTAGAGGCAGATATTTTTGTATCTCCAACATCATCTCTGCTGTAGTCCTCATCACTGACTACAATATTAGTCCAGGAATTAGGGTAAACAAGGTTAAAATGTGGTCTCCAATGCTCTTCTATCTCCTTTCACCAGCAGTAGGTATTTTTTGCTACAGGAGAGCTTGTGGGGCACTGACTAGACACCCAGGAGTCACTGAGATGATGACAGAAGGACACAGTTTTTGACACAGAACAATGTTCCCAACCCATTTCCCATTTTATTGAACTTTTGATAGTGTTTGAGGACATACCAAGGACCAACTTAACACTGGCTAGGAAATGGGTAAAGGACAGACTTATCTGTAGCTCATCTTCGCTCCCCTATACAGTCTGCATCAGGAAAAACACTCCCAAATCCTGTGCTAAGACACTGTCAAATTGGCAACTTTCTGCTGCAGCCCACTATATATCTGTTTTCACACAGTAAATGGTATTACTATATTTCATATCATCCAGCCAGAAAAAAGCCCTAATGTGATCCCAGGAAAAGCATTTCCAATACAAGATACCGTAACCCTTGCAGAAAAATTGGATAAAACTTGCATGTACTTTGTCAGATCAATTTTCTAATCTGGCTCACCAAGCAAATCTCGCTGGCATTAGACAAATAACTTGCATTTCAGTACATGCTGTTACTGCTGTTGCTGGGAACCCTGAGAAAGGTCGGGGGGAGAGGGTACAGAGGAAAGGACTGCTCATAAATCTGCTCCTGTAGAAAAACGGGAGGGTAGGACCAAACAGCAGGACCCCCAAAATGGGCAAAAGGGATGGGGAGCAGGGCTGCTGTGCCTGGACATTGCACAGCTTCAGCATCCCTGCAGGAGCTCCTCTAACAGTCGAGCTAGAGGTACCAGCAGGGACCAACGTCCTCGAGCATCCCCCTTGCTGCATGCTGGCTCCAGCTGCTGCAGCTGCAATGAGTCAAGTCCAGAGGATTTCAAGAGAAAGTGAATCCCATGGGTCACATCCAGGATCTGTGAAGCTGAGCCACTCAGATCTGGCTGGCCAAAACCAACAGTGGCTGCAGAGTCATGATAAACACTCCAGCTCGAGGATTTCCTTGATGGTACATCACTCACTGTACCTCTAGGGCTCATCAGCAGGCACAACAGAGGCATTTTGTAAGCAAGTAAGTGAAAAATGACACAGCAGTTCTATCTATATCACAACCCATCTCCCTTGCCTGCTCTGAGCTGAAATCAATGCAGTTGCATTCATGTTAATGGAGGACAGAATTGGGAAAATTCCCTGGAAGGTGATTTGAGACAATACTGTTGGAAAGAGCAAGCTTTTTTTTTTTTTTATTTAGGGAAGGAGTCAGTTGATTGTCATGTTTGGTTTAGTTTTGTGCCAAGATACAAAATTAATATGTTAAGTTAATACAAAAATAGGTGACACTTATGAGGGCTGTTACTCAAGATCATTCACTCTGCTGCAGTTCACTTCCCCAGCAGCAGAAATCTGCTCCCAGACAGCAAACTTGGAAGGCATTTATGAAGGAGGATGTTTTCTCCAGTGCCAAGTAAAACAGTTAAAAAACCCAGGCATTTTCAGTTGTAGGACATATGTCCTAGGTCATCATTACCTTAATGTCAGCAGCTTCCTTTCTCTCCAATTTAAAGGAATCCTTACAATTACCGTTGATTTGTTCCGGGAAATCCAAAGCTGATAGAAATGTTTGAAGCACTGAATGCACAGAAAAGGTGATTTACAGAACAGTTATGAAAATGTCAAATACAAACATTTGGCAGTCTCTTGTGCAGTAAACCAGATCTCTGACTTCTAAGCACTACAGGTATTCTGGCCAAGTGATATAAACTTCTGTGGGAGCAATCTTGCCTGTCTCTTTCCAGTCATACAGCTAGATTTTTTTTTTTCCCCTGATTCAAGACTACCCAGTAAGTTCTAGCAAACATGAGCAAGTAGTTAAAGTTTGGCTACACCTTACTACTCCAGGAAAGCTCTCAAGGGCTGTTTGTATCCATGGTGGGGAGCTCTACCTGGCCAGGGGCTGTAGGACTGAGCCCTTCCTATAGCATCCCTTATAGCCTCCCTGGTTCAGGCAGGCACTAAAGTGTGGAATCACAGCTTTAGAAGACTGAAGGAAATTAGTCAGTGAAACAGCAGAAACAAGACACTTGAGCTCTTCACCACAATATTATTTGTGTCATGCAATACATCCAGCCATGGTTTAGGTGATGGGTCTGTATTGTGGCCAAAGAGTTGCAGGCAGAAGCTTTTTCAGGGAACTCAGGGATGTTTACACTTGGGCTGAATCAGAACATCCATCATGTCTGAGGTGACCAGCAGGGTTTCCTTAAAGGCTCAGCTGTATCACTCCAGAGGAAAAATGCCTTCCAGTTGAAGGATTTCTGAAGAGTAGCTCCGGATAAGCAAGCAGGTCTTTGTGAAAGAGATCATTTCAGTGGTGGGAAGGGAGATGCTTCCCCAGAGCCTATTTGTAGGAGAATGGGTCAGACAGGCAGGACTGAATTATAGGAGACTCATCCTTGGCAGAGCTGAGAAGTTCAAGAGTGCTGTGAAGATTTCAGGAAGAGCTGAGGACATGCGTTTCCCTGGAAGTCCTGCTCTCAACTGGGAACCCCCACTCAGTCAACAGAAAATTACCTAATCCAGGTGGTTTTGATTTCAGCTCTTTTTAGATAGAGTTCAAAGCTGAAACAGGCAGGCGCCACAAGCTGAGGTTACGAGGAAAATATCTCTTTCCAAAGTCTATCCCACCCTTCTCATTTGTCACTTGTAAAGAAAAAAAAAGTGAAAAAAGCAAGGGGGGAAGTTCTGAGAGTGTGTGAGATGCTACTTTTTTCTCCTGCTGATCCCTCCTGCTACCCCTGCTTCCCTTTGCATGGGTGGGGGTCCCAGCACCTCCTGCTCAGGATGCTGCTGAGCCCACAGCAGCAGCAGGACCACCAGAGAGCAGCAATAGAGCCAGGGCCATAACTCTACATCTGCTCCGAGAAGATAGCGAAGGGCTGCTGGACACCATCTAACCCTGTGTCTGGAACGAAGGTCCCAACTTTCTCTGTCCCTTGTCCTGGCCTGCCAGAACGCTGAGTGTCAGTGTATGCCACAGCTGGGAGCAGGGCCACATGCCCTTCTCATTGCAACAGCTTCTCTGAGGGACCCAACTGTAGTGTTTTCCTTTTGTTTTCTTGAACTTTAGTAAAGGTGGTTGTGTTGCAAAGTGCTTGAACAGAGCCAGAGCTTCAAGCAAGTGCTCAGAAAAGCTAGCGTTACATCTTAATAGCCTAACTCTGTGTTTCTGTCTCCACAGCAAACATCTTGACAGTCATCATCCTTTCCCAGCTTGTGGCTCGCCGGCAGAAGTCCTCCTATAACTATCTTCTAGCTCTAGCTGCTGCTGACATCCTGGTTCTCTTCTTCATTGTCTTTGTTGACTTCCTCATGGAAGACTTCATCTTAAACAAACAGATGCCTCAGGTACTGGACAAAATAATTGAGGTCTTGGAATTTTCTTCCATCCACACCTCCATTTGGATTACGGTCCCACTAACGATCGATAGGTATATAGCTGTGTGCCATCCGCTGAAGTATCACACAGTCTCCTACCCTGCTCGTACTCGAAAAGTCATTGTAAGTGTCTATATCACCTGTTTTTTGACCAGCATCCCCTACTACTGGTGGCCCAACATTTGGATCGAAGACTACATAAGCACCTCGATGCATCACGTCCTCATCTGGATCCACTGCTTTACTGTTTACTTAGTGCCCTGCTCCATCTTCTTCATCCTGAATTCCATCATCGTGTACAAGCTGCGACGAAAGAGCAATTTCCGACTGCGAGGGTACTCCACAGGGAAAACAACAGCCATTTTGTTTACTATAACTTCTATTTTTGCCATACTTTGGGCGCCAAGAATAATTATGATCTTGTATCACCTCTACGTATCACCTATAAACAACAGCTGGGTGGTACATATTGTGTCGGACATCGCCAATATGCTAGCACTGCTGAACACTGCAATTAATTTCTTCCTCTACTGTTTTATTAGCAAAAGATTTCGCACAATGGCAGCTGCCACACTGAAAGCCTTCTTCAAGTGTCAGAAGCAACCTGTGCAATTCTACACAAACCATAACTTTTCCATAACAAGCAGCCCTTGGATTTCCCCAGCCAACTCCCACTGCATCAAAATGCTTGTTTACCAGTATGATAAGAATGGAAAGCCTATAAAAATATCACCATGAAAAGGGCAATAGTTGGAGTTTCTGGGTGCAAGTTCTTTTCAAGTGGTTACATCTTCAGGATGTAATTTGCTGAAATGGCTTAGAGCGGTCATTTGATTTCATTCCCCTGGGAAACCAAGGGCAGATCAGACTGTTGGGAAGGAACAGGGGCACTTGATTTTAGGAGCAAAAGTGAGAAGGCAAACGCCTCTGTCTCTTACACAGCATTTTGAATATGCTTCAGAATTCAAGTCTTAGTGTTCAGTTGCACTCAAACGTTTCACATCCCAGCACTAGTGCAGTCCAAAGTCATTGGAGGGGGGAAACCACAACAGCATTTAATTACAACCTTTTAAAACGCAGCAACAAAACCTTACTTGAAGTGCAGTTCACTATCGACAGAGCAAACAGATGCTTTTATGTACTGTGGAAGGTGCCATTTCTGGTGTGCGCACTTGCCAAAAATGATGTGTTGTTTCTGACATGAAATACCACCACTCACAGTCTGGCTGTCAAGACCGCGTTGCAGGAGGCAGCCTGAGAGACATGAACTGTGACAAGCCCCTTTTTAGCTCATTTGAACAAGGTTTGAGGACTGATATAGCACCTATTGCAGCCTTGGCATGGAAAGCAATCCTGCAAGCTTCCAGTATTCATACGTTTTAAGTTGTTGTTTAAGAATGCGACCGAGACAGGGAATCTCAAGGGAGGGAGGTTTCTAGAGCCAAGAACAAAAGTAGCATCTTTTCCCAGATATTTCAGTTACGGTGTCTAAAGACTTTCAAGTGTGAGGCCAAGTCCTGCCTGATGCAGAGTTCCCACTGAAGCTGCTCCTGGGAGGTTTGGAGTGATCACAGCCTTCAGGTTCCTTCCTAATCAGTAAAGATTCTCAGTTATCCTCCATGTTCAGGCATTTAGGAATTAGCATATAAAAACCTCAGCCTAAGATTTTCTCCTAACAGATTATGCCATCCTATTGCAGATCTGCCATTTAATTGTTAAAAACACTATTTGTGAAAGAAATCTTTCAATACCCAACAGCGGTAAAAAACATAGATCAGCTTAGACTAAGGCTTTTAAATATTTACCTTCTCTTCTTTCACACTCAAAAACCAGCATCCCAGCAATGCTGAGTGTAGACAATGACGAGAGAAGAGAGTTACAGGAAGGCTGAAAATGCATTTCTTTTAATTTCTCTCCTTCTCAGATCTTGGCACGTGGTCTTTCAGAGCCACGTACAATAACCACCTTTTTACTTCTATATTCTATATTAACGCAGCCTTACTGAGCATGAGAGCAGACTTCCTTGCACAGTGAACACAAGCACAATGCAATCAGTGGACACAGCAGTTACTGAGAAACTGCAAATAAGAAGTAGCCTGGTGTTAGCACCGCGTTTGTGTGCGTGCCCATCTCCATTGCCAGCAGGGAGCTCATAGTACATCAGGGACTGACACAGCAATGTCCTCCAAGAAGGAATCCCCACTTTGGTGGGATCTGAGGGCTGAAAGCACCTCTCTAAAATCCATGGATGGCTCAGCTTTGGTGCATTTCCCCTATGAAATGCCAAGTCTACAAAAGTCCCGTTGAGGACTTCTGCCACAAAGGTTGCATTTGCACCCTGACTCGCACTGGTGTCCTGCAAGAGCAAAACCCGCGCCAAACCTGAGCACACCTTCCTTCCCCAGGAGGGAATGGCAGCAGAAGGCACAAGCCATGAAGACTGGGACCCCAGACAAAGGCTGGCTCCTGTTTGGAGGGCCTTTCTCAGGAGACATTGAGGCTATTCAGGTTGGTCAGGAGCACAGAGACGGGATGCCCAGCACCTTGGGGAAGCACACACCACCCAGTCCTCTCCCACCAGCAGAGCAGTTGGGAGAGCTGCTCAGCACTCCTCTGTGAGCTGCTGGAGCACCCCAGGGACTATGCTGGTTGGAGCAAGGAGAGGGGCATGTCTGGGGAAGGGGGGAGCTGAGAGCAGAAGCTGACCCTTCCCACCCTCACCCACCAAGGAGATGCTATCCACCTAAATCTCCCCAGATTCAAATGCCAACGAGGAGCCCCCCTCATCCTGTAGGCTGCTAGTCCCTGTGATTTCAATAAAGCTTCACATTTACTTGCAATAATAAAGCGTAAGAGGGATGCTCAGCCTTGCTGTATTTGTCATGGCAAGGTTAAAATTATTGCTCCCTTTACCGGTGTTTTACAGAATTTCAGTTTTGTGGCCATGCCTTCTATCTTCCTCTCAGAAACCTCTCTCTGGTCTTTGTCAGTTGATAGTAACCAAAGTTACCTTATGAATAAGGTACTGTATGTTTCATTTTGGGAAAACGCTGTATTTATAACTTATTTTTATTCTAAATTTGTTATGAGGAATGCTTGTCTGAGTTACATGTGAGTGAGTCTGAAGTGCAATATCTATATAGATAAGTGGTTCATTTTTGAGAATGTATCTATTGAAAAAACTATTTATACAGGAAATTCACTATTCTACTTAATATAATAGTAACCTTACAGAAAATAGTGAATGTTTAGGGCTTTTATTTATTAAAAAAATTCAATTAAGTGCATGGCATATGTTGCCATTCACATTGTGTGATTTATTAGGTTTTGTAATAATGTTTATCCTGCAAACTAGCAGTGTCATTTGTTTTTTCCTGTCCTGATGATGTATTTTTGTAAATTACCGTATTTAAAAACAAAATGTTTCCATGAGAATATTTTATTTCCCACTAACTCATTAAATTGTTGTAACTTCATTTGAAAAAAGCTTGCAATCCCTTTCCATATTTTAGAAATGACAAGGTGCAATTTTCATGTACAGTGGACTGGCCATTTAATTCCTGGTAATTTAGGGCTTTAAGGGCTTACTTCCAAAGCCTCTTGAAGTCAAAGGGAAGGTTCTTCTGAGTTTTGTGGTTGGTTTTTCCAACTCCCATCAATTTAGGAGGGCTATAGATCAATCCATATCTTGTTAAGACATTTGAAGCCTTCTTGGAGTCTAGTTCGGATATTAAAGCCTTGACTTTTTAGTCTGCCATATGGGAGCTGCTGTTCATAATAGTTGCCTTATTTTTCGTTGTGTGAAGCATCTTGCAATGACTGTTGCTAACTAGCCAATGTCTTGCTGTATTATTCGTACCTCCTAATTTTCCAATAGTAAAAACTTAACCAAGCACATATAGTGTCATTATTTAGGGAAAAAGTATCCTGGAGACAAAATCATCTTTGTTGTGGAGATGGTCTTTTGTACTCTAATTTATATTTCAAATATCTACAATTAGGAAAAATAAGCTGTGAATGGACAGTTTTACAATTACTTATAGGTGCATGTCCTTGAATACCACAGCTAGGAACAAAATACTTTTTAGATGAGTTGCTGGTATATAAAATTACGGGACCTGTTACCTATTTAAGTTGTGAATATTGATATTTTCATAAGTAGACAATATATTGTGTTTGACAAACTTGTTTGTATTATAATAAATTATGAGATGGTGCATAACTTACTACTGTGTTTGGAGCTATTGTTTGACTTACAGATTCTTATGATATACTTTTGATTCATAGGTACTTACAATATAGTACAAATAAGACCAGTCCTTGGCAACCATCACTCAGTAAAGCATGGCCTTGGATTACAGCTGTTCATTCATTTGTTGAAAAAATTTGAAACGTAAGCTGTAAAAATTACTGGCCCAATTCTTCATTTTGAAGCACAGTCCTAGCTGCTGTAAGTTAAGTTTAGCTGTTGAAGTCAATGAATCCCTGTCACTAATACCAGTGGAAGGTTGGACCTGAAACTGTTAACACCTGTCCAAAGGAGGTGTGATGCCAGGAAATCAGGCTGGTGCCCCCATCATTGCTAGTGATGAGATACCCAGACAGTTGGGCCCAGGAGAGCAAGACACATAACCCTAATTCCCACCATCGATCAATGGCAATTAACGGCATAAGCTTCCCTGCAAATAGGCTGCATTTAGTCACAGGAGACGAGGCAAGTGAGAGAAATGGCAGTTTGATTCAAATTGGAGAACAAATGGGGCATTAACAAGGAAATCCTCCCAATCCACTCTCCCTGTGTATGTACAGGGTCTGTGTGTTTTATAGGCCAGTCTCCTCCTGTCTTTGCAAGTCCTCCCATTCTGAGATGGGCATCCAGAGCCCCTGCTCCATCAGCTGGTGATCCCAAACAGTCTGGATTTAGTATGTCCCTGTAGGGTGTTTCAGTCTGTTGCAGAGAAAAGGATCTCATGAAAAGCCACACAGATCTGCATATTGTTAAATATGTCAATGTGGCAAATGTGTTACACCTGTTGCCAGAAACAGAAAGTAAAAAAAAAAAACTTTGATGAGAAAATACAAAATACTAGAGAGGGAAAGTGGATTCAGGACCTCAGGGGACTGCAAGTGGAGGAAACCCAACATTTCTTCAAATGAAAAATACTAAACACTATGCAGAATTCATACCCTTGTTAAATGTAAAACCTTGTGGGATCAAGCTCCTAGCTTCTCTAGAGAAGTAACAGGACATTAAAAGAGTATTTAAAAAATTATTAAAAGCAGGGAGTGGAGTAGAGAAGGAACTGATCAGAAAAGTCCAGTGTCTTATTGATGAAGAAATGCAGGGTTAAATGCACAAGAGGAGAGGGTGATCCAGGTAATGCTTGACCTGATTGTCAGATCTCCCTGCCGTGAAAGATTTTAAAGGAGAAAGAAAGCCAAGTCAGGGGGAAAGGGGCACTGCTGAAAGGGGCAGTGTCAGATTTGATGGAGCTTATCAGAGTTGTTCCTTACAGAGGGAGCCTGGAATCTGCCTGTCTTGGTACTTTCATTAACAGCCACAGCATCAGAAGTACTGATGAAGTGTACAGATTATTAAAAAAGGCATTGTACTGCCAGAGGAGGACTGAAGGAAAGGTATTTCATGTAAGAACCAGATGACCTTGAAGATTCAAAAGATAAAAATAGGATTAATTCAATAGTAATAAACACAAGGCTCTCCACTTGTCTGCCTGTAA